GTCATTGTTGGCCATAGTTGTCGGATGAGGGCCAGCCAGAAGTAACCAAATGGCGGCACCCATTAGGTTCTTGGACATGGTGGGCGGGGTGAAATGCATCGGTAGGGGCGTAGTCAGTGGAGCAGCACTGGCTGAGGCCATCACATACATTTTACACAGGTTGGGCTGGGCAAGTGTCATCCCCAACGTTTGTTACTGCTGCTTAAGTTGCCATCTTCCTTTGCAGGGATGCATGCAGTTGCCACCTCTGGGAGGCTTCGGTTTATTCAGCTTGGGTGGAGTCTGGCACTCCCAGTCCAAACGGGGTTGTATTTGGAAAGTCTGACAGTAGATCCGGGTTATTTGAGGTTCTGATAGCTGAATGGCTTCACAGACAAGGCAGCGGTTGGCCTGGTGTTAGTCATTCTTGGCCATAGTTGTCGGATGAAGGTCAGCCAGAGGTAACCAAATGGCGGCACCCATTGGGGGCTTGGACATGGTGGGCGGGGTGAAATGCATCGGTAGGGGTGTAGTTAGTGGAGCAGCACTGGCTGAGGCCATCACATACATTTTTTACGGGTTGGGCGAGCCTCATCCCCAACATTTGTTGCTGGTACCACTGACAGTCCAAACGGGGTTGTATTTGGAAAGTCTGACAGTAGATCCGGGTTACTTGAGGTTCTGATAGCTGAATGGCTTCACAGACAAGGCAGCGGTTGGCCTGGTGTTAGTCATTCTTGGCCATAGTTGTCGGATGAGGGTCAGCCAGAGGTAACCAAATGGCGGCACCCATTTGGGGCTTGGACATGGTGGGTGGGGTGAAAAATGCATCAGTAGGGGGTGTAGTTGGTGGAGCAGCACTGGCTGAGGCCATCACATACATTTTTTACGGGTTGGGCTGGGCGAGCCTCATCCCCAACATTTGTTGCTGGTACCACTGACAGTCCAAACGGGGTTGTATTTGGAAAGTCTGACAGTAGATCCGGGTTATTTGAGGTTCTGATAGCTGAATGGCTTCACAGACAAGGCAGCGGTTGGCCTGGTGTTAGTCATTCTTGGCCATAGTTGTCGGATGAGGGTCAGCCAGAGGTAACCAAATGGTGGCCCTTTTTATAGTCAATTTTTCGATGTGGTTGCAAATTGAAGCGCTTCTTTTCCACGGAGTCCAGCCCAGTCAGCCTGCAGGCGTTATCTGCTGGGTTATTGGAAAGTTCTACAGGCGGCCGAGCATCTCGCTCCCAAAATGATGATCCTACAGCTTTGTTCCACACGTTTTCCTGCTTTGTATTTATGTTCCTCTTGTGCAAGCGCACTTCATGCAGTTTAAGCAGTTGTTTATTGCATTGCCATGTGAGCCGTAGTCCCTAAATCAAACAAGACATCTGTGTAATTATGCCAGAGAGTTAGTCTCCTCTAGAGGACCATGGGGAAAAGATGTCAAGAGTTGGAAGGTGGCCAAAATATATTAACCTTAAAAAAAAATCAAATAAGGGGGAAAAAAGCCAGCTAATCAATTTCTAGAGGAAAGTTATAGCTTAGCAGCTCCGAGGTGCGGGATGTCTCCAGCCACGAGGCGCGGGGTGGGGGTGGGGCTGAGGGATGGAGATGGTAAACTGTCACTTGCGTTCATCTTGGAAAGTTGCTGAGTTTTTATACCGACTGGAAGGAATTGTGTGTCCTCCATCGTAGAGAGGACTCTGTCCTTGAATTGTCAAAATGGTATCCCGGCACACCCCGCTTAATCTGACCAATACAGACAATCACCCCCGTCCACGATGACCACGTTTTGTATGGGAGACTCTATGGATTTGGGTGTGTGAGGGCCTTTTACAGCCTCGTATGATTATATCTTTGTCATCTAGTCAGATATTTATTGATGGGACAGCATCGGCTGAGCAGATCGAAGGATTTTGCAACAGGGAGTTGGCTTGTGTATGAGGACCATTACCCTCCCACAGCGATCTGGATAGTGTCCTCTGTGTGGACATTGGTCTCCGCCGTGGACATAACAGCCTCTAGTCCAGAGGTTCTTGTACTTATGGCAATCACAGTTCCCCAATGGAATTGGCCAACATACCCCCTTCACTGGACTGTCGAAATCGTAATCGCCATTCTTTATAGTTTCCAGTATGACCGAGTTTTACATTTGAATAGCTAGAAACAGAACAGCTAAGAGAAAATAAGAACTTTATCATATTTATATATTACAAAAAAAACCCAAATAAATACTCAATTATACAAGCTAGCTACAACTAGAGATTCTTGCTGTTTTTCTGCATTCAGAGCATGGAATGAAGGTCCAGTTACTTGCATGTCCTCTGGCATCAAGTCCGTTTCTCCACTGATTTCAGGTTCAGTAATGTAGCAAATTCAGTTTTAGGTTTTTGTTTTTTTTCTTTTATTCAGAGATCCAGCACATCACCCCCATAATTTGGTTACGATAACCCCATCATTTAATTCCCAAACCCCTATAATTTGATTCCCTTACCACAAAAATTTGGCTCTCATAATTTGGTTCCTGTGCCCACTATCATTTGATTCCTTTCCCATACCTCCATCATTTGATTCCCAAACCCTTGTCATTTGG